TGATTTATAACACAATATTTCGTCTTATGAAAAAAGTGATGTAATTGGTATTTCAGAGCTTGGGTAGAAGTTGTTTTTGGTCAATCTGGTGTAGAATGAACATATTTTACTATCACAAAAAAAAAATTTCCACTATTTCGATTCATATAGCTATTTTTAGCTGAAGCTGAATTTAAGCTTTTAACACAGGTCGGTCCCCTTAAATATATCTTCCGCGGAACTATATCGTTCATTGCCGCGATAATAAGCTATTGTATTAAAGTTAACGGTTATAGTTGAATCCCTGGCAGTTGTATATTTACGCCCGTACAAATTCTCCAGGACGAATCAACTACTCCCCGTTTCGCCGTATAGCCTTGGATTTAATAATTCAAAAGTTAGACGCTATACACAGTTCACGAACCTCTCTGTGTACTGGCAGTAATTTCAACTTAAGCCGGATTGCTTCCATTGCAACAGAAAGAGACAGAGAGAGAGAGAGAGAGAGAGAGAGAGAGAGTGAACTGCGCGCGGTGGTGGAGCAACGGAACTGCAGAGAGAAAGAGTCGCTTTTATTCCTAAAAAGCAGTCGAAGATTGGCCATCTAAGACGGACTCTGCAGCGAAACTTTTCTTGCTCTCTCTCTCTCCCGTTCGCTTTTGCTATATATATAAATGGTAAAGAGCAACTTTGGCGCGTTTAAAAGTACGCGGGCGCGAGAGAGAGAGAGACGGGGTCTACGTTAGGATCCGCGCGGAGTCCACGCGTGCGAGAGCTCGTCACCGAAGAACCAACTTTTAAGGGTCTTATTAAGAAGTCATTTTAAAGCCTCTGGCACTTTTTCACCTTTTCCCTACCATCCCTCCTTCGACCCCTCTCTCTCATCTGACTTGCAATGTCGCGAAATTTAATGTTATCGCGCGCGCAATATATGGATATATAGTGGACGTATATTTAGGATCGATCGATCCAATCGACGCAATTGCCGTCGCTACTCGCGTGTAACGTTTCTCTGGCTCTTGCATTTCGCTCGCTTCTTTATTCCATCGGCTGCCGAGTGGTGTTTAATCTTATACTTGAGCGAATGGGAAAAGAATAAAAGTACTAATTTCAGTTTAAAGTACTATTGTACAAGAGATATAAAGGCCGAAAGCTTCGCGCGCGAACAAAGATGTGTCCAACATATACATGTATATAAACGTGCTGCTCGCTCGGATACGTACTTCGAGCTCTCTTGACTCCGAGAGTTAAGTGAGTTTCATGTTAATGCGCGCAATGATTATAGCGCGTGAGAAGCGGACACTTTCGGCATTCAAGATGTTCTATTAACCGCGCCACGACTCGAGTCTCGCGCTCTGCTCTGCTATATACAGTCGAAATTAATTTCACCTCTCTGCAGAGACGCGCCGCGCCGTTTATTGTAAAAAGATCGCGCGCCCGAAACGAGCAATTCTCGTGTGATTTTTGATGGACCGTGCGAACGAGCGACTAAATGAAAAAGACGCGACAGCAAAGGAGGACTTTAAATATAGTATCCGAGATAATAAGCGAGCGGGTAGGAAAATAAAAAAATGAATAAATAAAAGGGGAAAAAAAGAAGAAGCGAAAAAAGCGGTGACACGTGTGCAATTCGGAACGATCGAGCGGATAGCTCGATGCCCCGATGAGTGATCGCGGCCAATCGCGGTGTAATGCTCTATTCTGGCTCTCTTTTCAACGAAAGCTGCTGCTGCTGCGCGCACATAGGCGAATAGCTGCTATTCACGGGCGCGTAAAACCCTGTGCTTTAGCACAAACAGAGGCGCGCGGGCCACGAGGCGAGTTCGTGCAACCGCAAAATTACGGAACGAAGCAAACAATCTGCAGCAGCAGCAGCAGCAGCAGTGCCAACGCGTGTGTTTATATCATTGTACGTGTGTGCGACGGGGCGCGGGGGAGCAGCGGGGCGTGCAACGTAGAGACCAGGGATGGCTTCGAAAACCAACCAGTGAAAGATCAATACTCTGCGTTTCTCTCTCTCTCTCTCTCTAGTCAATGCTGCCACTGTTCGACATTTTCCGCTCTTTTCTCTCTAACTGTACGCATTTATCGACGTGAGCTCGTTTGTATGCTGCAGCTTCCCGTTACCGTACGTACGTGTGTGTGTGCGTATCAACGCTAATAGCCTCCTTCGTCTCCACTTGTTATCTCTCGGCCGAACGCGTTTATATTTTATTTATTTTACTCTTTTGCGTACTGGCTCGACCGTGCAGACCGTCCCAGTCAGTCCTCCCAGAAGACGAGTCAATCTCTATAAATTCTCGGGATTATTTTTCCTGCTCTATTTTGCTCGCAGCGCAGAGCCTCGGACGAATGGCGTAAATTTTTACCTTTTATTTTTTTCTCCCTCTTTCTCTTTTCTCGCGTAATTGCCAACGTCACGTGCTGTCGTTATATAAAGGCACTGTATATACTCGTACGTGGGTATATGTGGCTTCTAAATCATATCTACGAGTTCGTGTATGGAGCAGAAGGCAGTAATCCGCTAGGAAATAAGCGGAAAATAAATGGAAGTGTATGGTAACGTATATAGACGTGTGTTTTGCTGGCTATATAGGTGCCTCTGGCCTCCTCCACCGCCTACTTTCGTGCAGCTATATAATGGAGTCTTAAATGCCCTTTGGTATTAAGGCCCTGCAGTGATTCAGTAAGAGAGGAAGAGATTTTACGTGCCAGACGTGGCTGGCAATGGTGGGGTGTCAAGGGGTAATTCATTTCGATTTTTTCCAAACGATTTGTCCCGAAGCAATGGCGAGAATGATTTCTTATCTTGGTTTCGCGTGCAATTGTACCGGCATATTCGACGCTTCATGTTAATTACTTAATATTAGGTGCTCAAATCATCTCATCATCTCGTTTCGCTCGTCCAATAAAATGCATAATATTTAATTGTGCGCCTGTGCGTACAAGCGCGTAGAATGATATCAAAGGCTCTCGGCATATTAGCACAAAGTCGTGCACGAGCGCTCAAATTCGACGTTTGAATCATTAATGTATAACTGCGTGTGCGTGCACGCATACGAAAAGCATACACATGCATAGCACACACATATACACTATACGCACATGCATGTAGGGCAAAAAGAGCAAAGATGGATGTGCGCTTTGCGGCGCTCGAGTGCGTGGCATGTGTGTATATATGTACGCGCGCATACAGCAGCACAGTCGAAGCCAGAGCTATGCGGACTAATAGAGAGGAAGTCAGAGAGGAGCAAGTAGTCGAGGTTGAGGCTGGGAAAAGGAAGCTAACCTCGATGATATGTGCATCCGCATTACACGCGTGCCCGTGGCAAGTCGAGCGTGAAGCACGTATGACGTCGTCGTCGTCGTCGTCGTCGTGCAGCCACTACTGCTGCACGCTTTGCGACGCGCACTATATTACTCATGCCTCGACGAATGACCTGCACCCGCAGCTCGACTCAATTCCACCCCCTGAGCAGCCGCTCCCTCGCTTCCTCCCTCCTCCCTTTACCTCCCTCGATCTAGTCTAGGACTCATTTCACTATAGGTATACATCAACGATTCGATTCGCGTAATTGCGAGGCAAACTGCAGCCGAAGCCCCAGACAAAAGACGGTTTCACGATTTTAAATTTTCATCCTTAACAATCGGCACGTCGCATAATTGCGACAGTGGCAGCATACGGTACGTGGGTATGGTAGTACGTTGATAGAAGACACGTGGCTCACGGCTGCCTGCTCGGGATAACAAGGACTCCCGGCAGCAGCTCCCCTTTTGTACGCAGCGGGTATCCATCCGGATCGACCTGTACACGCGCTAACTTTGTAATTTGTGGTTTTGCAGTTATATATGCATAGCTCGACGATAAAATATTTTCACCGAATTTGGCGTGCAAGTTGGGGGGTCGAGTCACGCTCGATCGGAGCCTCTCGCTCTCTGTGTATATGGCAAATTCGCGCTTCTCTCCCGCACCCACCGTCTGACCTAACTAAAGTTGTACCACTAATTTCATTACAACTGACCGAATTAAGATTCTCGGATATACGATACGCTTGTATAACTAATGCAATAAGCGGTATCTCTCGCTCCCCTCCATTCGCGCTCTCTCTCTTTCTCTGCCATACCCGCACGCGCTTGCGAGTGCATAATTAGAGTGTTCGGCAAAGAATTTGAGACGTTGCGCGCGAGCGCGTTTGCCCACGGCAGCGTTGCGGAGCGAGTGTATATAACAGGATTGCCTGAGCTAGTTATAAAATTGTTTAAAGCTTGTTTCTCGCCAGCTTTCAGGGCGCTGAAATTCCAAAAGAGAGAGCGAGAGAACGAGAGGGAGAGAGAGGGAGAGCCGAGCAGTGCACAGTGGCAGTAAGCTACCCGAAGCCACTTCTTGCGATGATTAATGGCTCATTGCACTTTTCGTTCTCGTTCGTTTCTACGTGCGAGTGTGCGTACGTGTGTGTGTGTGTGTGTGTGTGTGTGTGTGTGTGTGTGTATGGGTGTACAGTATACGTGCGACTATACGAGTGCGCTGCTTCGCGCACGGGGAATTTATTCGCTAATTTAGCGAAAACTCCACGCGCAGCCTCGTTGTGTGCGCGTTGTTACTTTTGCTAGAATGAACTGTGCAGTGGTAGCGCAGCAGCAGCAGCAGCCGCTAGCAGCCCGAGTGATGAACAAGTGTGGCTTGGATATACGTTCCGTCTGGGCTCTATATACAACTCTATATACAGACTAGCGTCCATTTTAATGTAAAATTGCGCGAAACGAGAAAAGCAGCAGAGTAGGGGAGAGGCAAGGCTTGAAAGAAACAATGAATTACTGAGATTTTTATCCTCGATGAAGAGAAATATACGTGCGGTCCGGAACAATCGTCGATTCTGACATTGATTTATTTATTAAATTCTACAATTCCCAACTAAAACTCAAACAAATTCTCAAAATTTTAAATGAAATATTTTTGCACAAAAGTAAATGTACCAAAGAAACGATAATATCATGATTTTGTTGTTGTTGTATTTTTACAGTGTACGGCAGATGCTGGAGCGACGATGACGAGCAGCAGCAGCACCTGGAGCACGATCTCGAGCCGCTGAATCGAGGCCCGTACTTCGACACGTCGGTCTCGCACAACGTCACAGCCCTCGTCGGCAAGACGGCGCTGCTTCACTGTCGAGTTCACAACTTGGGTGATCGCACGGTAATTACCATGTCGAGGCATAGAGAAAACTTTCTGCTATATGTATCCCGTAAGATCCGCGAGAAGCAAAATCAATCGACTCCACCCCCTGAGCGAGGCTTTAACCCCCCCCCCCCCCCCCCCCNGGCTTTAACCCCCCCCCCCCTCTCCCCCGCTGCTCGTACGTCCGTCACTCTTTGCCGTAGCAGTAGAGCAGCTCCAGCAGAGTTATTTGCATTGTAAATTTCTCGGGCTCATTTAAATCGTTCGACTAGTCGGTTGTCGGTCTCTGTGCGCGATCGATATCTCTTATCTAGGCGAGCTTAGCGCCACAGCTATAATAATGTGCCGGGTGCAATGGCTATGTAGAAAAAGCGAAGAGTAATGCATGCCGCGATACATATTCGATTGTAGCAAACTTGTGTTCACGTAGCCGGCGAACAAATTTAATCTCTATCTTGCTCCGAAGCAAAGCAGCAGCTTCCACTTGATATTTATAAAAGTTTCAAGAGGTACAACCCACGCGCGCGCGAGGCTCGCTCGACTCACTCTCTGCGCATATAGCCCATTAGATTTAGTGGTTTACGCTCTGAAAAGTAGATAAGTATCGGTATTAGGGGATGAAGCAGTATCAGCGAGCCGGAATTTCTCGAATTTGCGCGAGCTTTTCTTCCGCTACTCGTAGCATTTTAATCAATTCTTCTTTTATGTTCATCAAGTATTCACACTTATTAATGCGAGACTCTCTTGAGCTCGTAAATAAATGATGCCTCTATATATCGATACATCAGCGTCGGCGCAACTGAAGTAGTGATCTTGGAGCTAATTGAGTAGAAAAATAACCATGGATTAAAGTGCACCTTATTTTCTTCCTTTTATTCCTCTTCAAAAAAAAAAAAAAAAAAACTAAATTCGCTATGAACAACAATGTTTGGAAGTGTGCTCTCGTTTGTGAGCTACCGATCAAAGCATTCGGAAATGCATACGTCGCTGGATGATCTAGATGCGTCATGAATTGTCGCTTGCGAGGGTTTTATAATGTATCTCGCAGTTCGTGTATGCACGCACGCAAGAGCAGCGAATACTCCGGGCATTTTATACTTACGATGATTTTCCTTTTCGAGCTAGTATATACGTATACAAGAGAGCCTGGCAAAACTCAGCGGTCGGTATAACGGTGAGAAGTAGGTGCATAAATACGCCCATATAAATACGCGCGTTGGGGAGAGTTTTTTTCCACAACATTTACTATACACTTCTCTTTTGCACTCCAGAGTAAGAGAGAGAGAGAGAGAGAGAGAGAGAGAGAGAGAGAGAGAGAGAGAGAGAGCGTCGAGCGAGGGAGTGTACCGTCACAGCGCGTGTACTACCCACTTGCCTGGAATAGAAAGTACATTTCTATACAACTGGCTCGCGCACAGCTCTTGTGCCATATATATACACCCGTACATATATATGTGATAAAACGTATTATAAAGTAGACGTGCGCATATATATATATGCGCATACATGAGAAAAAGAGGGAGGCAGGTACTTTGGGCTAAATTCCGAAAAGTTGTCGCCGTTTTTTTGTTATGTTTCATTCAATCTCTCTCTCTCTCTCTTTTCGCTGCGTATGCACAGCGGCTCAACGTTAAGGCGAAAAATATAACGCCCTACTTTTTCATCCACGCGCGAGCGAGCGAGCTAGGCGCTAATAAAAACATTCGCGCTCGCGCGCGTTGTTTATGCGCAAAAAATTTGCATTCGCAAACATTTATCGTCCGGGGGTTTTGGTGCTATCCCTTATAAGCGCGCGCTCGCACGTTTATAATGACGCGCGTTCGCGTAACACATGCCGTGATACGACACCTACACACTGCAGTCAAGCCCGCGCGCTCCTGCTATAGCCCACCCCAATCACTGCGTTTGTAATCCTCCTCTATCTCCCGGTGTATACACAGTGCGCAGCATGCACACACACACACACACACACACACACACACAGCAGAGAGCCACCATACACGCAATACCGGAACGAGTGTACGTACGCGCGTGTACGGGTGTACAAGACGCTCATTAGCCTCATAAACGACGCGTGTTTAAACCGATAGAATTCGCAATTTCGGGGGACCGTTCGCATTACAAGCGACGAGCAAAATAACGTTGTACCGTCTCTAATATATATTTCGGGGCCGAGTCCGGTATTATAGTTTCATGCAGTCGCGCGCACAATCTCTAGACTATGCTCGCGTATAGCCTCTGAAATCAAATACAGCGCGCTAAAAAAAACAGCTCATCCTCTCTTTCCGAGAATGCAACTACGCCACGCAGAGAGAAAGAGAGAGAAAGAGAGAGAGCGCGTAAAAGCACGCGGATCGTGTGTTGGCCCGCCAGTGACTATACTGCGTACAGCATACACTCGCACGCAGACAGCCAGACTGTATCATCATATATATATATAGGTAGCGTAGGAAAGTATGCGCGCGAGCGCAAGCGAAAAAGGAAACGTGCCGTATTCAAATTCTGGCCATTCAGCTCGTGTCCCGCCATTATCTCTATACTATACCTAATGCTGCTGAGCTCCGCAGCTCACGGGCAGGAGCCTCTTTTCTTTCTCCTTTTTTTTGGCGAGTTCAATATTTTTTTTTACCCTCTCTTTCTCTCTCCCTACTAAACGGCGGGTTTCAATCTGGCGCGTTGGCGGTGAAAAAGTCATTTGGAACACAGGCCGCCAACAGCTCTCTCGTGTACATCACGACCGCACACAAGCTCGCGCGTCACGTACATGTATTTTATATAAGCTGCAAACTTCATTTCCCGCTGTCCGTAGCGTTTTCTGCGCGTATACACACGATCAATCTCCCAAATCTTCCGAGAGAGGACGACGACGCACAGCAGCCGCGACAAACGCGTAACGATGATGATGATTGCCCCTGCACCGCAGAGATGACTTATTAATTGCTTTTGCGCTGCACAGATCAAGCGACGCACGCCACAACGACTATCGTACGCGAGCGCGGATTTGATTGCTCTTGCCTGACAGTGTACGGGTACTATGCGCGTAGAATGTACTACCTGCGAACTTTTATTGCCCCCCGCGTTCCATACACCGAGAGTCGAGCGCGCGCGAATAGTATCAGCGCGACCTTTAAAGCAAACGCGAATAATATACGCGTATGTACTTGTATGCGCTCGCGCCGAGATTGGAGCGAGCGTGAAACGCGCGCGCGCGCGTTATAATACCAGTAGATTACGATCCACAGGCGCGAGGACATTAATTTTCGTTCGCGGTTGTTCTCATCGAGGATTCATCGCACGACGAGGCCTTATTATACGCGGCAACAGCAGCAGCAGCAGCAGCAGCAGCAGCAGCGACCGGCGCACGCAGCTGATATTTTCATTACAGAAACCGCGACGGCAGCTTGCGTACAACGCGAAATTGTTGCATTTTATCTAAATGCAAATTCGATAAAGTTTACGCCCACGTGTATCTCTTTTAGCTACTCTCTCTCTCTCTCTACTCCCTCATTCCGACCTCTCGCCTGCGCATACACTCTCACAGCACTCGCTCACTCGTGGCTCTGATAATGTATAAATTACGTTTTAGACGCGGCGCGGTGCGTTAAAATCGAAATTACGCGCGTTTACGCGAAAATACGTGATATAAAGTTTCTGGCTACGCTGGATGGCAACCGCGTTGGTATTAAATATAAGCTAATTCGCGTAATCGGAACGACGAGCAGTTCTCGTAAGATCGTATAACAATGGTAAAGCCGAATGCAATAAGTGCGAGTGTGTGTGTGTGTGTATGGGTATGTTGTGCTTCGCTGCGTAGAAGTAATAATAAGCCGGCTAATAGTCGGTGCACGCGCACCTCCCCATAATATGAAACAACGACAAAGTTACAACTCGTTTTTGTCGAGTACTGCAAGCGACAATGTTAATTCACTTTCTCTGTATGTGTGTGTATAGTAAACGGGGTAAGATTTCTCGACTGGAACGCAAGAAATAGACAAAGAATTTCGCGGTGCCGCGAGTACGACCATATTTCATTCGACGCACACACTCAGGTACTCTCGTGTATATGATACGTGAAAAAGCTCGAGTTCGACTGGATGAAACCGAGTCCGCGCGCGCGCGCTCTTTGCTACGGTTATCGAGCTATTCGTCAATCAACACATCGATACAAGCGCGGTTGTATTCACCGAGCGATGATTAATCTCCCGTCGTAAGCTATATACACACACACTTATATATGGCTTTTTGAGCTCGAGAGCCGAGGCAAATATCGTATCGCGTATCTCTTTATAATTATGGCCCGACGAGGCGAGCTGCCGCGTAACATCTTTATAATCTAAAATTAAGTGGATAATACATCACGAAGCGAGCTGCTCTCGTCGCGTTGAAAATAAAGGAAAAATGAAAAAAAAAAAAGAAAAACGAGAAAGAGAGAAAGAAAAGAACGAGTAACTTTATCATAAAGTACACACCGCATATACACAGACGGAGCTGACTGTAAGGCACGAGGGGGAAGGAGGAGGACGCGCGTACGGGCTCACCGAGAGAGAAGTGAGTAATTTTTCAAATCGGAAGCAGTCGGTGGAACAGTTAGCCCCGGTAGTGGTAATCCGCCGCTTCTTTCCTGCGCGACGCGCGCGCGGCCTCGTTTATTTTTTCCTCACTCCCCCCACCACCCCCCGCGTGTCCGCACATTCATACCTACGTACCTATATGTGCGCAGTAATTGCTATTATTATATATCAAACTGGCACACCACAACGCGGTACTTATGTTCGTTTTTTCCTCTCTTGAAATAAAAAAGGGAAGGAAAAATATATGTATTTTTCAGTTAAAACATATTACTTTGAAATGTGTATACGCGTACAGCTCTCATTTGCGTATTTACGCGAATGGGTCTTTTCACCCCTGAATATACGCGTATACACGCGCGTGCACTCGACCCTTTTTTTATATTAATCAAGAGACGTCGGACACATTTTCATTCGTACGTCCCTTCATCAAAGTTTTGACGCACGCAAAAAATATCTCGTACGCAACGTTTGGTTCTATTAGCCGGGCGCGCGACGCATATCTACTACACGGCACATTACAAGTAGTACGCGATTGGTTATAGTCAGACGAGCTCGCGATAAATAATCGCATTTCGCCGCTTGTTATATTGCTTTTTACTGCTCGCGCGGGTGGGCGTACATACGCACACAGCAGCATACACACACTCGCGTTCGTTGCCTGTTTTTCTTTGCCTGCTCGACAGTGCACACGGCACATGGACGAACTCGCGCTGCGTATATTTTTAGTAGGTGCGCACGCGTAATAACTGATGATTTATTTGAAAAATCGCCTGCTACAGCGATACGACATGCGCTCCAAAATGAGATATTTCTTCGGGGCGGTACAAGCTACTGCTCGTTATACCGCCGCTACACATGGCTTGATGATATATAAAATCGTGCTCGAAATTGATTTGCTCTATTAAGCTTGTGCGCACGTATGTGTTTTTCCTGCGCTAGCACTAAAGTACTATGCATTGCCAATATTTTTACTTTTATTGTCCATGCTGAATGTGTGTACACGATACACACACACATGAGCGCGCGTATTTGTATAGGTAGCGAATTGTACGCGCTACACAGACTCGCTCGCGCTCCAAAAGTATCGTTATAATTTCCAATGTGTATATCTGGCTATGCTCTACGGCACACTTGCAGTGCACCAGCCGAAAATTTCAGCTTGTAATAACGGAAATTCGCCGGGTTGATCGCGAGCTGCGTTTATAGTTGCGCTTTTGGGTGCAGTTTGTCAATCATAATGTATAAATCATCGCGTGTTACAAAGATTTTTCGCCGTACGCCAGATACGCATACACGAGCGGCGGCGGTGGCGGCGCGCGCACGACGACATTAATTATTCTACGTTTGTTTGTCGAGCCTTGATGATGCATGTGCCGTGTATGTACATTTAACTGGTGCACAATAACGATTTCAAGAGGTTCACAAGCTCGCAACGCGAGTTTGGGACACGGTGGCGCGAAGGAGGGGAAAAAAGGGACCGGCGAACGAACGCGTGCCAAGTTCTGTTTACACACCGCTCCGAAAGCTCGCACATAAGCTCGCTGTATGTATTTATACGCGAGCACTCGAATGTGCTCAAAAATGAAAATAAATGTATCGATCGTTGCGATTTTCCGCTATTTTACGGATTCAAAGGTCCTCGCGCGTCCCCTCGTTATTTTCTCGAGCACGCATATCCACACCCTCGCGCCTGCACGTTTGTATAATTATAAGATAAACTCGCCGAAAGAGAAAGAGAGAAGTAGAGAGAGAGAGAGAGAGAGAGAGAGAAAACCGTACACGCGAATGAAAAGACTTTTGCTATACACATAGTTGAAATAAAGAGGCGTGCGCGCGTGCACCGGCACCGGTTCGCCTGCATAAGCCCACCGAGATAGAGGGTAAATGTATTCTTCTAATTAATCTTGTCGGCCCCTTCGTGTGTACCCTCGTCCTGCTACCGCCGTTGCTGCGGTCGCCGTAGAAATGATAAAAATTTCGATGTCATAACACACAGTAGTTCACCTGTGCAAAGCGTATGAGCATACATCGCGCTCGAGCTCGAATTTTTATTATTTTCGATAACTTAATTATTCAAGTTTATAATAAAAAAAACTAAAATTTTTCGAATGAATAATCTTTGGTCTCAGGCACGCGCGAGCGCGCGCTTCATCGGGAAAAAAATTCAAATAAACCCGCGCTGAAACTCTCCATTATGTTAAAAGACGATCAAGAATTCGAAAAATGTCAAGAGCGCATCGCACGAGTCGTTATATATTCGTGCACGCGGGGGGATCGCACGCAGTGCACTGCAAAGGCGGTACGATATCGCAGCGCAGCTATACACATATATATACACAATGTGCAGAGGTCGCGCGGCACATATATTACATCTAAATTAACGAGGTATTTACACTTATAAGCATATTGCAGGTAGAGCGCGCACTCGAGTTATATATAACGCGGTATATGCTAATCGTATATAATCTCGTACGCGCTCGCGTCGATGGTATGTGTGCGCCGCGTCCCGTATATGCATGCGCGCGATCATAGATGGTAATCGGAATTCACTGTGCATATATATGTATAATAAAGCGGTCCACCCAAAGTTCAGCGAAATACCGCGTGAATAGACCCCAGGCGCGCGTAAGCCCTCCCGCGCGTCGAATCCTCGCGCGCTTATGTAATAAATACAATTTCTATAATGTCGCATCGCGACGGCCGATAGACACGATCTTGATTGGAATATTATTACGCAGATTGATAAATATTTGTACGTGTATGCTTGTTGCAGGTGTCATGGGTGCGGCATCGGGACATACACCTGCTGACGGTGGGCACGTCGACCTACACGTCGGATCAGCGCTTCGTGGCGACGCACTATCCGCGCACCGAGGACTGGACGCTTCAGGTCAAGTACCCGCAGCAGCGAGACTCCGGCACGTACGAGTGCCAAGTATCCACGACGCCGCCCATCGGCCATTTTATGCATCTCTCCGTCGTTGGTCAGTATTATACATACATATGAAACGACGTCCATACAACTATATATCCCCGTGTGCATTATGTTGCCTTTGTGCGCGCGAGAAAGCTGCTGATCTTTATTCTTTTTATATGTATATACGCCTATATACTCGCCGACTACATCGTTTACGCTCTAAAACCCCCTTGTGTATATATAACATTACACACTGTGTGTATATGGAAGAGCTTTACGCGCGCGAGCACATATATACACACACCAACACTGGAAAGCTTTTTAAAAAGAAACTCCGGGCTTGTCTCGAAGACGACGACGACGACGACGCCGGTGATCAAAGCCATGCACCGAGTGTATTTATAATATCTTTTCTCCGTCATAATGTCAAGCCCCATCTCGACGTTATAAAAGAAAAAGTTGTTTATTTCTTTTCAGGCCTTCTCGCTTTTTTATGCCCTCGCGCGTGGACGTATATTTACGTACACTCTCAAGCCCGGCTTTTTCGTCCAAAATCTTCGGGCATTTTTCGTGTTCGCCGTACCGCCCCCTGCACGTCCAACGGCGTAGAGAATCACCGCACTAAAGTACGATACGCTGCTGTGGCTGCTGCTGCTGCTTGCCAATGTGCAAAATTGCTCCACGTGTATTTTGTTACCATTGAGCAGACTATTTTTCATCTATGCTCCAAAACATAACTAATGCTCATACACGCGCGCGTGCCCCAAACGACGATTTATCGATTTCGCCCTACACCATTGACAACTTGACATTCTTATGTTCTCTGTGCGCGCAAGTAGAGTTAGCCGCATATTGATACGTAATAAACTTGGATGAAAAAAGGGGAACGAGGAATTTAACATGCGAGAGAGAGAGAGAGAGAGAGAGCGATGGTGACGCCGAAGGGCGATAAGCGCGCCGGCGGGGGAGGGAGAAAAAAAATGAAATTTACGAATTTTTCCGTTAAAACTCGCATTCCTTCTGTAATATAAAGTTGAGGAGTGTGCGCCGAGGCACAAAAAAAAGTTACTGGCGCGAGAAAACTTTTGCCTCTCTTTCGACAACGCCGACGACGAGTTAACAGTTATATACGTGTTTGTCAAAACTTTTGAGCTGCCGTATGCATGCATGAAAATACGCGCGCTTCTGTGTGCGTGTGTGTGGATGTGGGCGTAGGTCGGGTGTAGTATTTGTGGTACGCTCGCGAGCTGTAAGCGTATGCGCGAACGATAAGCTCGTAAAAAATAATACCAATGTTTTGAGAATAAGGAAAAAAGACAGAGAGGAAGAAGCGGGAGCGGATGACGCGCGATACGAGCTCGGTCAGGCGCTTGTGCTTCGCTCGGCTACGTAACGCAGCGCAAAAGTTACGATAGCTTTAAGTCCGATAAATAAAAGAAATTTTTATGTATAGTTATTACTTTGAAATAACAAGCTTGTTTGTATAATAAATAAATATAGTAGACAACCTTGGCAAGTTTATAAAAGCACAAGAACTTGGTCATACGTGCACGCTATAGCTATACTCCACGTACCGCATGCACGTTCGCAGCACACGGATGAGGGTGTGTGTGTATAGGCGAAGCTTTTCTTCAGTCCTGTCTAGTTTCCAGGAGCGAATAGCAAAGTTTACGACAACATTCAACATGAATTGTTGGCAAAACTTATACACGCGCCCGGGCTCGACGCGTACCACGAAGAGATTTTGTCTCGTCTATACAGTCACACTCATACAATGTGCATGTGAGCGTACATATATATAGAGAGTACATGCATGAGTATGATCCATACGACTAAACGCTGGTAAATAATGTCCCCTCGTCGAAAGGACTAAAGCAGGTCGTTTTTTGTAGCGTGCAAATGATTTTATATATGGCCCGACGTGCAAGCTCGCTATACCAGGTTGCGCAAGACCGCGAGCGTACGTGGAAACTAAAAATTATACGTGTGCGCGCAGGGGCGGCGTAGTAGGACGAATGCTTAAGCCGCAGTTCGCCGCCGACAATCAGAGCTGAAAAATTTCATTTTTTGTCAGTTTCGTTCTGGGCGTCGCATTTTGAAAAATTATTACTTTTTCTTGGACTCTCGCTCGCGCTCGCGCAAGAGCGACAAACAAGATGAAGTGCACTGAATTTTTTCGCGCGCCGTTGGGACTCGGGTGAACATTATGTAAGCGCCTCGAGAAAACGCGCGCGTATTACTCGCGGGCAAAAGTGCTGGGAAATTTTTTTTCCCCGCGTATGTGCGTGTCAAATTTTTATTCTATCCAAAAAAAATCTAAGCTCGTATATAAAAGCGAGAGCAAAACAAGTTTTCAACGTTTAAGGAGGTTCGATAGCACTTTCAAGGGGCAGGCGGGGCGAGGGGGTCGCCTATGCTTATACACGGGCACGAAGTAGTGATACCAACTCATGGGAACAAAATATTATTAGCAAAACAGCATGTAGCGGCCGCACGGCACTTATAGGCGAAACTGCTTAACTTCTATCTCGCTGAAAAACCCCCTAAACGCACTTAAAAAAAATATGTGACTTATGATTTCGATTGGAAATTTCCTCAGCTTTCCGATGATAAAGTCAGATTTTCAAAAATTTTCCATTTTCCACGGAAAATTGTAAAAATAAACTTTTAACATTAAATATCTCAAAAAGCGCATTTTTAAGATTTTTTAAAGTAGTCTCAATCGAAAGCTGAGGAAATTTCCCATCGAAATACATATTTTTCATAGAGTACATTTTATTTTTACTAGCTGAAATACAGCGATGAACGTGTAAAAACGCGACATTTCGGCTCGCGTGGCTCAGAATCTCACGTTTTTAGACTTGTTTATTGAGCATTCGGTGTTGTAAAACGAGTCGTTTTTTTTTCAAAATGATCAATACCTTCTTGGCTTTCTAAAAAATAGTTTTTTTTTCATTTCTTAAGTCTAATTCGTTTGCATAATGCTTTTTTTGTGACATTGTTGTAACTTTCCCCATAAGACCCATGTATAAGACGTCGTTTTTGATTTTTTTTTTCTCGAAAACTAGATTGTAGATCAATCTAAGATTTTAACAGTGCATTCA